ACAAACCACCCAAAAGCCCCAAACAAGGAAATGGATTGAATGAGAAATCAAAAGGATTGAATATGGGCAATAGTGGCACTTCTGAAGAGCAGTGTTCAAATTTCCAGACCTCATTCATTTTGCTGGGTCATTGCAGGTGTTCCCGTGAGATGGGATCACTTGTACAGTGGAAAGGCTTTTGGTTTTTCACAGTATTTCCACTCCTTCCTCTGTAACTGTTAATTTACTGAGCATAAAGCACAGTAGTGTTGTCCTCACTCTGAGTTCTTTGTCCTTAACGTTACAAGAGCCTTCCTTTGCAGAACATCTTACGGTGTTACGGTGTTGTATGATGCAAACTGCCTCCACAGAATAGCTTCTCTATTAAAAGTCCAGGGAATTCAGGGGACGCTTTGGTAATTACCAGCACTGCATCCTCCCTTCTTCCCTTGAAGTGTGACCAACTCTTGTGTTGATGCAGTTGTGTTTGTAATCAGCTATTCCAGAACTTCAAAGAGGTGGGAGGAAGGTTTTGATTGTGATCTAACTGTTAAGCCATTGAGTTTAATATACAAATAAACGCATGTTCTTTCTTCATAATATGTTTAAAAAGTGTGTGTGTGTAAGCAAGCCTCGCAGTCTGAGGGTGTAGAAGTAACCTTACAGTTCTATTTATTCTTTGGTCTCCATCAATAACATCAAATCAAATATAAAGCAAAGCATTAGCAATGAATTCCTGTTGACAGTGTTTCAAAAGAAACGTTTGTGCATTAAATGCTGTAATTTTTGTTAGGCCCTGGCAACCCAGTGTCTGGGACTTGTTGAACAGAAAATACCAAGTGAAAGACTGCCATTGTGCAGCTGCTGCCCTTGGATGTGGCTTTGCTTTTGCAGAGCCAGTTCTAACTGACTTAAATCTGTGGGATTACATAGAGCAACTACTGTTAGTGCTAATGGAACTTCACTCCCTCTATTTGTCATGTTCACAAAGAGCAACTTCGAAGATAAACTAAGTATTAAAGAGTTCTCATTCCAGTTTTCTTTAGTAACTTCATCGAAGCTTTATGGATTTTCTTCATTTTGATTGTTAGCTTCTTACAGAAGACTTGCTTTTCAGTGTTTGTTCCTAGATCGTACTTACTCTGTTACAAGATCAGGCTTCTTTTTTTACCCAGGTGATGTAGTTCTAAGAAAGTCACCCTTAGTATCTCA